ACTACTATGAAACAGACTATGACATGACCCTTAATGATCTTATCTATTTGCTTGGTCAGCAATGATTTGAGGACTAGTAAAGCAAATTGATTACGAGATCAACTTCCCAATGGACATTGACAATGGTAACATTGGATATCTAGAAAATCCTTCTCATCCCAAAGAAAGGGTTTGACCATAGTCAACTAGGTTGACCAAATGGTAAAGAGAAAGGCTAAGTTTGCGATAGTCCCATGTACCATTCCCAGTGAGTCCATATGTTTCTCTTGCCAAAGGAAGGGGCATTGATTGCGAAGCTGCCTATTTACCTGAAAGATCATAAGGTTGATCAAGTCAAGAAGTTTGACTCTGCTTCAGGTAAAGTTCACTATCTAACTCTGTTAAGTTTCTATTATGAGATTCTTATTACATGATGTGACTTGGTCACATGTTGATGTTTTAAGAATCAAAGAAAAGTGAAGAAACTTAAAGGAAGTATATGCTGATTCTGATCACGAAGATGGTTTTCGATCGCATGGTTCGGTGATCAGAATTTTGAGCTGTTGCTTAGGAGTTATGATATATTGCTTAGGAATAGATAACAACAAGTTTTTCATATGCATTTGCATTGTAAGGATAAGTTTTTCCGGAAGTTTTAAAATAAAAAACAGTTTTGATATTTTAAGTATCCTTACAATGGCATTTGTGAAAAATTGTTGTTTACATGTTTCCATTGATAGCAATATTGGAAATATGAATTTGATTCTTTCGTTTGTGGTAGTGTCTAAATTTACCAAATAAGGAAAGATTCTCATCACTCAAGCTTCAATTGGACCGAAACTTGGAATCATTCAAGTTGTATAGTATGATGAATGAGAATTTCCATCTTTGGAAAATTAAGACTAATTCCTTGTTCGCATGTATATGTGACTCAAGTGAAGGACTAAGGGATCAAGTACACATTCTTGTGCACTAGCCAAAGTCCGCCACAAAAGATTGATAAGACTATTCGTCATGATTTACTAAAGTTTAGTAAATATGGTTATGCTTACAAGTTTAAGTGTAATTCTGAAACATTGGAAAAGTTTCAATGTAAGGCAGAACGAATAAGAAGAATCAAATTAGGCAGGAAGATAAAAGTTTCTCAAATCTGAAAAGATGGGAGAGTACTTTAGTATCATGTTTTATGATCATCGTAATGATTGTGAGACCATATCACAATTCATTCTCTAAGGACACCTTAGTGCATTCTTATGGCTAAGAAGAGGAGTCATGAATTGTTGAAATGGTTAAATCAAGAAGATGAGTCAAACTTCGTTTCAAAACAAGTCTTAGAGTCATAATCCAAGACTATAAGTTGAGTGATATATCTTAAAGAAAGGTTCATAACACTTGTCAAATGTAAGAGTAAAAGTGTCCTACTCTTGTACATTTGAAGTTGGTAAGTTGTGATGTTTTGGATTAAACAAAGACCAACTAAGGCCAATTGTGTGAAGTGTTTGTCTTGATAAAGAATCCGCACTATCCCTTGAATATTTGACAAGAGAGTCTTATATGTCAAGAGGATAGTGGGAGTCTTAAAGGTCTTGAAAGTCTCAAGAACTAATCAAGAGTAAAACCTGAGGTTCTTCACTAGCACACGACTTGAGGTTTATAACCTATCATGTTGACATACTTCTATTTCTGTGCCCATTCCAGTTAAAGTTGGTTTTGCATATGAGTTCTTAGAGTTCTCAATTGGTTGCATAACAACTTGGAAGCAATGGCAGACCCTTGTGCTGCCAGGTGGCAAGAAATTAAGATTTAGTTCAGTCCATATGAGGTTGGATTTGTCACTAACCTTGTCTTGTGATTATGGTTTTGACAGATTCACATGGATAAGAACACATACACCATAAAATCTACGGGTCATAAGGTTTCTCTCCGATTCATGAAAATGATGGTGAGGAAACACTTCCACCAAGTAGATTTGAAGCAAATGGCAAAAGGTCTAAACAATTGAGACTATGATTACGGCATCCCTTTTCATAGTTCTGAAATTGTTTAGATACACATGCATGCTATCTAAGGAAAGGTGTATGATTTTTGATAAAGTCTTATCAAGGCAATCTCGTCTCAGAAATCTGAACTTTGGTAAGAAAGTCAATAAAGTATTGATTTCTAGAAGTCCAGCTGATTTCTGAGTACATGTCAAAGCTAGTGGGAGCATAAGTGTTATGCTAATAATCATCATGTTAGTGGGAGCATGATAATTATTCTTAATGTTGCAACTTAGCAATGTTAATTATAGAAAACAAAAGTTTCAATTCGTGAGGCTGCAGGGATTGAAAAAGTTGTTTTGCTATAATTAAGGGAGAGGATATACTTCATTTCAGTTCTAAAGGCTTAGATTGAGACCTTAATCATCTTTAGTCAAGAATATATATATATGAATTTCATGTTGGATTGGTTCAACTTAAGGAAATTCTATATATTGCGTTCTCAAAATTCGATTATGATTACGGCATCCCTCTTCATAGTCAAATTTTGAAAACATGGCAAATAAAAATATTGTAGCAAAAGACTGGTCTAGAATCATGTCTTTATGTGAGACATCATGAATCGTGTCCCATTTGCTTTGGGTACAGGATCGATTGCATGTGCTATAATATTTGTCCTTTCTAAATTTTTCCAAATGCCTAGAGGCATTAAGAAGGGAAAAGGTCTAGAATTGGATATGACTAAAATGATTAAGCAATTGCCGAGGACAATCTACGGTGTACCAAAGATTGGTTGCTTAGGGACAATTGGAAGTATAGTGCTAATTTTGGAAGGACCATATTGACATATTCTGAAAAGAGGCATCTCTTGTTCAGAAGTGATAGTCAAAATGAGAATATGGAGTTGTCTCCATAGGTGGAAGTTATCTGTGTAAGATTAGAAAACTTAATGCAAGGAGCATGTCCAAAGCAATGTACTTTGAATATGAGACTTAGTTTCCATGGAGTTGATCTCCATTGGAATACCTTATAAGGACTGTTGACAAGTCTTTGTGACTTTGTACATATTCATTACAGGAGGGTCAGTGCATATAAGTTTAAAATCTAAACAGATTTCGATAAATGATAGGAATTTGAAGTTCTCACATTTTTCGATAACGATTTGGGAGTGTGAAATTAGAATCATTGAAATTACGTTCAATTGGTTTATTTCACAAAGTAAGGATCATAGACAAACATAGAGTGCATACTTGGTGTATGGAAAAGCTATTGTTTAGAAAAACATAGTGTACATGCTTGGAGCATGGGACAACTAGTGTTTTTAATTCAGGTATAAAGTTGATAAAACCGAAACAATGAAATAATGAGTAATCAGTATGGTAATAAATAAAAGTGGTCTATTTATATTCATAGGGTTTGATACCATATTTGATTCATTTATTCTTGTGTTTCATTTTGCATGTTTTGACTTCCAGAATAAACTAGGTCATTCTTCCTGAATGACTAATTTATTCAAACTATCCACAGTCGGTCATATGTTGGAAGTAGATATGAATCAAGAATGTCATGGGTTGGCTTGTAGAGGTCTAAGATGTTGGACAAAGCGGTGCTACAACACTCATGAGTGCTCATAAGTTCTGAGTATTGGATTCAACCCACGCTCATTTGAATCACTTCAATGATTTTATCACGAGTGATCATGAGACGATAATATCTTATATTCTTAAAACCTAGAGATATGAGTTGTTACTATGAGTTGGTTATACATTGATTGCACGAAAACGCATTGGTAACTCGATGTTATAAAACGTGCCTTTGTGTATGATTCAACAAGTAGTAGAACAAGCCATATGAGTCGAAGTTTATCCATTCCTTTTACCTTTGGGTAAAAGCGATATCTGTGGGCCCCTCGATGATTTAGCGATGACACGTGTGAGTGCTTGGCCAAGCCAGGACTGATTTGATTTGTTCAATCAGTCAGTCATCATAAATCGGAAATCGGGAAACAACAAATGGACAGAGAGAATGATTGATAATCCATGTCTCAGTCCATATGATATCTAGAATGGAGGAATATATGATGCCTTATCTAATGGACAAGTCATTGACAAAGGTCAGAGTTCATCGGCAAGGTCAGAGTTCGACAGAAGCTTTTGAGAGCTACGATTGCCAGTTGGTTTTTGAAGTCATACTCAATAATAGTTTTAAACTTATCCAAGTGGGAGACTGTTGGATTAATGTCTAAGTCCATAACTATAATTGGTAAGACTTGACCCGACCCGGCATGGTCCATTTGGGTTGCATGGCATCGGGACAATTGGATAGACAAGATGAGGAAAAAGGATACTAGTGATTTATATTAATATATTATAAGTTCTAATATATTAATATATAATCATATTATTTAATTAGTATTGATCAAGAAGTAATTTATAATTAATTAAGTGATCAAAAGGAACTAATTAAATATGGACTCTAAGATATATGTGTGTGATGGGCCAAGTTCATTTAGGTTGGGCTAAGCTTTCATGGATAGTCCATGGAGTGTTTAACCCAAGGATCATATGAAATGAAAGGTCATGGGTATTAGGGTTTAACCCTAATCTCCACACTATATAAAGATGTGCTTGGTTGGTGAAATGGGCACTAGTGTGTGTACACAAAAGGCAAGGCCGATTTCACTAGAGAGAACGAAAGTATCCTTATTCTCAAGGTTATTCCAAGTGTTCATGGTGTTGTGTGAACCATTTGAGGTGTCACACTTGGGGCACTAGGCACTCAAGCTTCGTTCAGGCAAGTTACATCAAAAAAAGGTATGTATTCTATCTATTTTATTACCCAAGTATATGATATTTGTATGCTAGTATAGGGTAATATCTTGAAAACTTCATATTTGCATGTATAATAGAGAAAACATAGATCCAAGGTATTTAGGGTTGTATGTGCACCATAGGATGTTGTAGTATACAAAAACCCAACAGACCCTGCCGGAGAAAGAATTTGCAGATCTGAGAGAGAGGAAAAGTGGCGTCTCTGACAAACCTACCCTAACGTCATTGTGTCTGTATCTCGAAGCTCATAGCCGTCGTTGGAGAAGGCGAAGACGATGGAAAATCGAGCCACAAACTTCACCATTTCAACATCGTTCTTGTAGAACCCTTCACATCAGGGGCGAACAGACGCCATCGTCGTTCTTGCTTCACCGATGGTGCTGGAAACACTACTACACCCTTCACCTTCGACCACAGCTACACCCCATCACTACGCTCGTCACCTTCAGATATGTTCAGATCTGTGGCTAGAGGATCCGGCGGTGGTGTGGAGATGTAACCTAGATCGATGACCCCCTTGATTGATGACAACAACCTCGTCGGAGGCTTAAAAGCCGAGGAAAATCGACCCCAGGTGTCTCCCCCTCGTTTTCCAGTCGCGAAACCCTCCATCTGAACACCGTAGCTGCCAAGAAACCCTAACCTCCAAGAAAGGCAAACTTCAGATCTCGATCTCCTTTCTCTCTTTTCCGGATGTCGAGGTTCAAAGGGAGGGCAGCAACGATCGAATCGGGTGTTTGGGGTGGTGCTACCTAACCGGAGGGAGGCGAAGGGGCAGCCTAGGCCGACGACAACCACCAGTTTCTTCTTCTTTGGTCGGTGGTAAGCAAGAAATGAGAGAGAGAGAGAGAGGGAGGGAGAGAGAGTATTTTATTTTGTTTTATTTTTAGTTTTTGGTAATAAAACAAAAATGAAAAATTAAATTATATGGGCAAAATCGTCTTTAAGAAAAATCAAACCAAATTGGACCAAACTTGCAAGAAAATGAAACTTTTGGACCATTGATGCTAACGCAAACCGTTTTGGCCCAAACATGCTAGTTTTGACATACCACAAGGACCATTCTTGCAATTTTTTCTAAAAAAATTCATTTTAAAGGTTTGTTATATATCATAATCATATATTATGAACATTTAAAGAAATATATAAGGTTGTTTAGCTATCCCAATTTATTTTAAATGATTACAAATAAATAAATATATATATATATATATATATATATATATATATATATATATATATATATTATGATCTAAATATGTTATGATCATTAATCATATTTTTTTTATGATTCAAAATTAAATAATTTAAAAAATGTATCGTTGAATGTATTATATGCACACACACACCGTTGATGTCTTCTAGGATATAAATATATATATTTGACAATCACAAACGATAAAATAAGAATATTTGGCTCGACATTGTTGCCGCTTCAAATGGGCAATAACAAAAAATGCTTAAGACTTAAGAGTATTTTAATAAAATAAAAAAGAAAAAATAATTACATATCTTGAGAGTATAACCTTAGAAATAATTATATTAAAAACAAGAATATTTATCATTGACGGTACATATAAAAAACAATAAAAATATAGTGATTTATAAATGCAACAGCAAAACTTACCCACCAATTGATCCCTATAAATATGGGATGAGTACTAGAGTTAGAGAGTAACTTCGCATTTCACATTGTATTCTCTAAAACTTTCTCTGTACTTCAGAAAGCATAAAAGAGCCAAACAAATTCTATTTAGATCTCGTGTTCTTAATTTATACTTGATTCTAATCTCGTCATTCATACTCGATTAAATCGCAACAACATTTGGTATCAGAGCAGGAATCATTATGTGGTGATATGATTTTCTCAAGTTTCAAAATTCTTTTGAGTCTCGTTCTGGATTCAAAAGTTTCCACTCATTTGATTCTGAAAATCTTAATAGATCTTTAGATTTGAAAGGGAGAAAATTGATTCAACTTCCTATGACTGTGAGAAGACAATCTCTGAGTTTGATAGGGTTCCAGATGATAGATATGCATATGGAATTATGAAAATTGATGAATGTTTAGATGCAAATGATCATGTTGATATTGTGAATAAGACCTTGGCCAAAAACGAACAAATCAAAATTTTGAAAAGAACTGAGAATTAGATATCTAACTCTCAAAACAATTTTCCTGATATCGAAGATGATTCTGACGATATAAGTGAAATTGAGGAGGAAGAAGTTGTTGATTGTTCTTAGTTTTCTGTCATTAATGTCACTTCAATGGCTAAGGGTAAAGAAAAATGTGATAATTCTTCGGTTAAAGTTGACACTGACAAACCCTCAAATTTGAAATTTCATGATCCTGTCCATGTGACTGTCGAAGATAGCCAAACTGACACTAATGATGACAATGATGATGCCTCGAAAGAAACAACCAAACCCCGAGTTGTTGTTGATCAAGTCTATGAGGAAACAAAGAAGTTAGAAACAATAATGAAAGAAAAAGGATCTCATTACCTTGAATGAAATTCAGTTGTGTATCCAAACTTCAAATGCACCGATGAATTTATCTTTCCAAATCAGGTGTTTGTTACCTCTGGTAATGGTGATAAAGTGAAACCTAAAATCAACAAAGTTGTTGAAGAAGATAATAAGAAAGTTTCAAAAGAGGGATTTTTCTCAAATCAAAACACCATCGAAAATAATCTCAACAAAAGTTCTTTCTATTTTCACAGACAAAAACCACAAAGAAATTGGGTTGTTAAATCTGACAAACCAAAAGATGAACAACAGTCAAAAGAAAAGGATTTTGGAAAGCCAAAACAAAATGTTCAAAATTTCAAAGAACAAATTGAAAAGATTTCAAAAGAACAAGGGATTTCGATGACTAAAGCAAGAAAGAAGGTTTATTGGCAAAATATTGAGTCTCGAAAGAAACAAAATATTGTGTCTAATAAATCATCTGAACCAATTAAGTCTAAATCAGTTCAGACAAATTCTCAAAACAAATCTTCTTTTAAGAAAACACTTGCTCAATCTGAAAAAGAGTTTTAAAAAAGTAAACCACAAACTTCTATGTCCACATCTAAACCAAATCTTAAAAACACAAACAAAGAGAATTTTGTGAATAATCACCATTCAAAGAAGTTTGTTCATTACTCTCAAAAACAAAAGGTTTTCACAAAATGATTTTAAGAGAAATGGCTTTCAAGCAAATGAACAAAGGAATTATAATCAATTCTCAAGTCAAAGAAGATTTTCGGAAGGTCCACAAGTTTTTCAAAGCTCAAATGTTGGTTATCAAAAACGATTTCAAAATCGATTTCAACCACCAGAAAGATCTAATTTTTCAAAACATCATTTTGAAAAGTTAAATGTGAATAACAAGAGTAATGTACCATTTAAACCAACTCAACCTCATTTTCCCAACCATTCTTTGAAGAAGCCAAGCAATACTTCGTTTTCCAAAGGAAAAACTAATGTTAAAAACATCAATCATTGGCTCGAAGGAAAAAGCGAAATAATGTCAAAGTGTAAACTTGTCTCAAGAAGAGATTAGGTATGCTTATGAAAGCTACTTGAATGAATCAACCAGTGGAAGCACATCATCCAAAGAATCGAATCCCTCGGTTCGAAAATGGAAAGCAGTTCCAAAATCAAAGGTTGATAAGAATGAAACTGATAAGGTTAGAGGAAAAGTCAGGGTTGATCCTAAACCAAAAGATGATTTCATTTCGATACCCTCTTCTCAAGAAGTGGACTTAATAGATAGTTTGAAATCAAAAGTTCGTAATTGGATTATAGGATCTTCATTTCATAATGCATTTTGTTCTAATAACCAAGGACCCAAACAGCCTTGGGGACCTAAATTCTTTCATTGATTGTAGGTTTTGAGTGACGAGCAATATGATGAAAAAGGGTACATTGATAGTGGTTGCTCTTGTCACATGACTGGAAAGAAAGAAAACTTACGCGACTATCGAAGTTTAGAGAATGCTGTAGTGGTGAAATTTGGCAATAATCACAAATGTTATGTCAAAGGTTATGGTAAAGTTGCGAATGGAATGTTCACTATGAACAGGGTAGCATATGTCGAAGGTCTTCAAGACAACTTGATAAGTGTTTCGCAACTAGTTGTGGGCACTGGAAATCAAGTTGTTTTCAATAAAGAAGGAAGTGTGATTTCGAATATCGACACAAAAGAAGTATTGCTGAAAATCCAAACGAAAAGGCGATATGTTTACTCTTGATATCAAACCCATTGTTGGTGTTCCCTCGGTGTGTCTCCTTTCAAAAGCTTCATCTGACGTAAGCTGGTTACGACATCGAAAACTTTCTCACCTAATTTCAAGAATTTGAATAAATTGGTGGTAAAAGATCTTGTTCGTGGTTTGCCAGTATTAAAATTTGATAATGATACTTTATGTGCAGCTTGCGAACAAGGGAAACAAGACAGACAAGGTCATCCGATTGTGATTGATTCGAAGATTGTTGAACCTTTGTAACTTCTTCATATTGACCTTTATGGACATTCGACTGTTGAAACACTCAACAAGAAGTGGTACATTTTGGTCATTGTTGATGATTTTTCCAGTTTTACATGGGTATATTTTCTTTGATTAAAGTCAGAAACAACTCAAACAATGATTGACTTTATCAAGCACATAGAAGTGAGTTTGAAGAAAAAGGTTCATAAGATCAAGAGTGACAATGGCTCAGATTTCAAGATGAATGTTCCTGATTCATTCTTAACTGACAAAGGAATTTCGCATAATTTTTCTTCTCCTTACACCCCTCAACAAAATAGTGTGGTCGAAAGGCGGAACGAGTCTCTTTGTGAAGCAGCTAGGACTATGCTCACATATGCGAATATTCCATAATATATTTGGGCTGAAACAGTTTCGACAGCTTGTTTCACTCAAAATCGATCTTTCATTCATCGTCGATTTAACATCACCCCTTATGAAATCATCAATAATAGGAAACCAAATGTTAAATTTTCCTATGTTTTTGGTTGCATGTGCTTCGTTATGAATATTAAGGATAACCTTTCGAAATTTCTGTCAAAAGCTGATGAAGGGATATTCTTGGGATATTCTCATAATTCGATAGCATACAGGGTGTTAAACAAACGAACCAGGAAAACCGAAGAGACTTTTAATCTTACCTTTGATGCTTATTATGTTAAACGAGTCGAAAAATGTTTTGAACTAAATCTAATTATTAATGAATCGAATGATGAATCTCAAAGTTTGAATTCATTAGATTTTTATTATGATTTAATTTTTGGTTTTCCTAACAGGGCAATTGATGCAGAGGTTAATGTTGATGATAATCAAATCCCTGAAGCATCGAAGCATAGTGATGATTCGACTATATCGCAGGATGCAGTTGATATGAACTCTTCAACAAGTTCTCCATTAATCAACGAAAGTTAAATGTAATACCCAATGCTCAAGTGGAGGGGGAGCATTTGAGTTCAATCAGTAGTATTGAGGGGGAGCAACATCAATCGGATGTTAATGTCGAGGGGGAGCATCCTGATATTGATCCAATTGTTGAGGGGGAGCAAAATAGATCTCTACAAAATACTTCGAATGTTAATACTGATATTTATCATGA